GCCGAACCCCTGAGATCGACTCATCGAACCCCTGGGGTTCGATCGAACCCAGGTTAAGAACCACTGATTTAGAGTAATCAAGCTGTGAAATACGCAGACTGTATGTATTTTTGCTCATCAGGCAGTTTTTGTACAGGTTAAGTCAGAGTGTCAGTGGGACATTACCAGCATCCACTGCCCAAAGTGTTAGAGGAGGAGCGTGGTAGGTGAGCAGTAGGCAGTGTTTGAAAAAGCTTTACTGTCTCAGTCCTTTATTTATGCATGTACCAAACCTCTATGGAAAATACAACTTTTTCTTCTTTAAAAATCCTAGAAGAATCACATATGTTGGGTGTTAAATAAAACCGAACACATTTTCACCCTGAGGTAGAGGGATAATTCAGTCATCGTGTAAATATTTTTTTTGTTTGTTTTGTTTAGTTTATTTATTTTCACACATGGAAGTTTTACTGTCGATATGAGGAGGGTTTCAGGAAGACATAACAGGAAACCAAACATGGAAGAAACAGGCTTCTGGTTTCCTAAAGAAATGTACGTGTTTGCAAGCGGACATGTTGTCCTGTGGGAAATGGCCTGTCTTCCTGTGGTGCTTCTTTTCATGAAGTGGACCTGTCATTGGCCCTGAGCTGATGAATATTCACACAACTGACAAAGAGTGCACAGATAAACAAAGATGAAGGCAATTAGTTTCTAAAGCCAGAGAGAGAGAGAGAGAGATTTGCCCAAGCAGGATGCCTGTGTGTGTGTGTGTGTGTGTGTGTGTGTGTGTGTGTGTGTGTGTGTGTGTGTGTGTGTGTGTGCGTGTGTGTGTGTGTGTGTGAGTCCACCACTTGTTGCACACAAGGAGAGGAACTGTACCAAAGTCATCCATGGTTAATTGATTTTAGCCCTGATGGTCACAGAGCTGCTAATTATCGTCAGCCGACATCACAGGGTTCAAATCAAAAACAGGAAATGTCTGCATAGCTGTCAAAGTGTGGACTTGTCCTCATGTGAAGCAGTGCGTGTTTCGCCCTGAGGGCTTTTCAGACACATTTCACTCTCAGTGTGTGTGTGTGGATTACTGAGAAGGCGGGTGGAAATTCACACCCAAATAAACAAAAGATGGATTGTTTTGTGTTGGTCTTGACCTACTGGTATTTTTCCCACTGCTGGTTGCATCAGAACCTCTCTGGTGTAACCTTCCCATTGCTGCCACAGGGGAGATGAATCTCCCCATCACTTGTTATAGACAGATGGATCATAATATTGAACTGTATCACATAACTTCACATCTATTATCTGTCGCCCTTTCATTTTTTCCCGTATTTTCACTATCTGTGCATCTTTTACCCATGTTACTTGCTAATATCACTGTAATGGGATTACCAGCAAATCTCTGAGGACAGCATGTACATTCAGCACTTTTAACGTCACAACTCATGACAGCATGGTAGTACAACATAAGCTATTATTAGCATAACATGCAGCCATTTTTATCTTACAGATAATCTTGGTGAACTACTGACTACATAAAAACGTTTATGTGTATTTTACTTAATTCTCCACTTGTCGGCACTCATGCAGTTTAGACAAGTTTTTAGTTCAGGTGCTTCATTCTGAACCATTAAATTTGTTTTCAAGTTTCAGTGTGATAATCAGTGAATTACAAATCTTGTCTAATGAGAAAGAGCCGTTTATTCTAATTTTATTCTGAGAAATTGTGATAGAAAATGAGGATAACTTTTTGCTTGGAATAACACCCACTAAAAGCCTGTATGTATCATCAAAATGGACTAATTTCTATGGAATTAAATCTGGCAACTTCTTTGCAAATCTAATGAACTGGATTGAGTGGGAATATTAAAATCTACGGTGGCCGACAGGTGCAAACGCACAGCAACGGAGAAAAGATGCAAACAAAAAGAGACGCAAACAAATGAAATGCAGCAAACAAAATAAAAGACGCAAACAAAATTTTACAACTATTATCTGACGTAATACTTTTGCCGCTGCTTTTCTGAACACCCGTTTTAAAGGATGCAGGCCTTAAATTTGGACACAGCTGTTTTTTGTTCGACTCCCTCTACTGGTCTGGAGCACTTCCGTTTTCAGCACTTTTTGTTTGCGTCTCTTTTTTTGTTTGCATCTTTTTTCTGCTGCTGCGCGTTTGCACCGCACCGTAAAAATCTGATATTAAAGAAACAAATTATCCTCCCAAGCTTCAGCTCACTTCTAAAGATTTGCAGAAGGCACTAAAATTAGTCGACATTAATGCAGACAGGAACAAGCAAAGCACCAGATTGACGTTGACATTTTTCTTTCTGGTTTAAAAAAAACATAAAAAAAAGGAATTATATTAAAATGTTTAACCTCATATTTTTACAACAAAATAGTATCACTATAATTAATGGTAGGAAATAAATCACAAACTGATGGTAGGAGATTCCCATCAAGCCGTTTTGTGTTGAACAGGAGATGTGATTCCTTCAGGTTCAGATCCAGAAGAAGCAAAACATGCTATGCTTGACTGTTGCTATGATTTATTTAGTTGTTTTTTTTTATTATCTGATGTGTTATGTTTATTTTACAGCCTTTTATGTTGTCTTTGGTCAGCAGGTGCTTTCACCTTGGAACTCTCTTACGAAAGCCTTTGTGCCCAGTCTCTTTCATTTTGTTACATCAAAAACACTGACATTAAATAAACCAAGTGGATGTTCTGGGTTGTTTTATGGCCTTCCGGAAGAGTCATCGATGGATTCTTGGAGTAATTTTGTCAGGTTCTCCCTTCCTGTGAATAATTTTCCACATGTGGATAGTAGCTCACACCCAAAACGATTTGAACTTCTCCCTAACTGATAGATATCGAGGACTTTGTCATCTGTGCTTCGCTTTCTTCATGGTGAAATGATGTGTTGCTTTTTAGGATCTTTGAGCCTACTTCATGTTGTCAGACAGGCTCTGTTTAATTGTCTTGAGGATACATTTCTGGGAGTCATCGGGGATGAATTGAGACCAAAACCGGTGTTAACTTATGATTTCATAAACGGGGCAAGTTTCACATTTAACCAAGGTCTTGATAGTTTTCTTCCCTTTATAACTGGATTCATCTTATGAATATAGGTTAGGGTCTTTACTGAAATTTTCTGTGTAAATTATTACATTATTAAAATTTGTGTGATGATTTGAAACTTTAGGGAGCCAAATATTTTTTCATAGTTCTTTATGATCACAGTTAAACTGAAGGTGTGTTTAAGTTCCAGCATTTACTACTCCAACAAAAACAAATTAGGTGAAACTAAAACTTTATCTGATGTTTACTCCTCCTTAGGGTGGTGCTATCTCCATCCTCACTGCCTGTGAAAGACCCAGTGATTTCACTGGAGTGGTCCTGATAGGCCCGATGGTCCAGATGAACCCAGAGTCTGCGACGCCCTTTAAGGTACTGCCTCACGGTCTACGTGTTTATTATCAGAACTGCACTTCTTTTCTCTTTATTTATGTTTTTCTTCCCTTTCCTACTGCTGTCAACAATCAGATTTCAGTTCCTGCAACCAGTGTCATCTTTTCAAAGCCAGACTTCAGCTAAATCTAAATCTTTAATGGGACAGAGAGGGTTTGTTTTATCTTTTTTTGTTTTTAAATTGGTGCCAACTTAAAATAGCAAAACACTCGGATGTGAAGAGAACTGTGAAAATATTCAGACAAAGTAGGATTCTCCTGACGAAGGTGTCAGATTGTGAAAACAAACTAAAAAAAAAATAAAAATCTCAGCCAGCTTTTTCTCCCCAAAGGTTTTCGTGGCGAAGCTCCTCAACCACATGCTGCCGAGCCTCACCCTGGGATCCATCGAGTCCAAATGGGTCTCACGGGACGAAACACAGGTGAGAGACAGACACTGACTGGTTGCTGTGAATCTGAGTAGGTATGCTCTGCTGACGATGTACCTGACTTGTCAAGTGGTTTGTGTGTGTGTGTGTGTCTGTGTGTGCGTGTGTGTGTGCGGGTGTGTGTCTCATGGGAAAATGTGTCCAGTGGTGTACATTCATGTGAAGTTGAGCAACTTTTGAACAATCCCAGGATGAAGACCGCACCTGTTTGACAACGACAAACAAAGTGCATTTACTTTGTGTCACATTTAAAGTAGCTGCAGCTGAACCACGACGGAGCCAAATACAAACATGCCGTCACGTTCACACACACCTGTGAAACCACGTATTCATGCAGGTTTGTGAAACTTTACATGCGCCTCAGCGGCCACACATCCTGTTATTTCTGCTTCCTCTAATAAGACAGGGAAGTTTTTGTGTTCAACAATAGGTGGCTTTAACCCTTTGGATTATGTTTCGGGTCAATTTGACCCATTTCAGTTTTTGTGTTGATCAAAGTGCAGGTTTTATACTTTCATTTCTTTCCGTGAAATGTTGCGACTTTTTCGCATCTAAGGTCATGAACTGCTGCGTCAAATGTCTGCACCCAGTTTGCATACAAAAATGATGTTTTGGGTCAGATGGTAAAATAACACGGTCAACATCACCACACCACATCGGAGGTAGATTGTTGTCATCGAAATGACTCCTGGTCCTACAAGATTTGCTGTCACAAGAATTGATGTTATTTGAATTAACATTTCAGCTCTTTATATCCCCACTCATGGAGAAGATAGTCCTCGACATGACTAATTTGGAGGGGAGGCGTGTCTTTCAAGAGAAATGGAAGCCGCTGGATCTAACTGTCTAGTATGCGTACGTTTTAATCCTGGTATTGGCTGGAATACACAGGTCAAAGGTTGGAGCAACTGCAGGTTTTTGGAATGTGATGACAGTAAAACAAGTTCCTCTTGTGTGAGATGCAAGAAATACATCTGCAGAAAGCACACAGTTACATTCTGTCTATCATGTGGGGAACAATGAAAATGTTGAATACTGAAAACCCTAACCTTAACCCTAACCCCATCTGCTCCAGCAGCCAGCCTGCTACCAGCTGCTTCACCGACATGAATCCAAAACTGCAAAAATCACCTGCGTCCAAAGAAAAACAAACCATAAATCTATGTTGGGGAAAAAAATGCATACACAGTAAGAGCAAGAGAAAAAAAAAGATTTCACAAAACATAACGACTAAACCAAAAACATACAGTGTAGATGAAGATGAGTTGTTGGTTTAAAGGTTATGTTTGCATCTCTTATCATTGTGTTTCATAAATCTCAAATCCTTTGCTGTGCTTTTGGGTTTATTTTACTGCCATGTGGGATTTATTTATTTTTTTGTTGTTGTTCTAAAACCTTGCTTGATATCAAAGCGTGGAGGAATGCTGCATAAACAGCGTTACGGAGTCCGCCCAACACTGTTCTTTCCGCTCACAACTCTTTTGCACGGCTTTCTCCCGTCAGGTGGAGGCATATGACAACGACGAGCTGAACTACCACGGCAGGTTACGGGTGTCGTTTGGCATCCAGCTGATGGCGGCGGCCGAGAGGATCGAGAGGGAGATCCCATCCATCAGCTGGCCCTTCCTGCTCCTCCACGGCGACGCTGACAAGCTCTGTGACATCCGAGGCTCCAAGATGATGTTCGAGAAAGCTCCAAGTTCAGATAAGAAACTGACGGTGGGTGTGAGTTCTCACAGAGGCGAGCCCCTCTGTTTTTTGAGAGGTGGAAGAAAAACATGTGACGTGATATTTTTAGCTGAGCAAAGTGTGGTAGGTTTATTTGCACAGTATTGTTCAAAGATAATGTAATTCAAAGTGCTATGCAGGAAGATCAGCAGCACAGAAGTAATAAACATCACATTTATATCAAGGCATACTAAAAGAATTGTTCACTTCGAAATTGCATAAAAAGAAAAAAAAAACTCAAATTTAAACAAATGAACAGATGAGAAATGACAAACTAAATGATTAAACAGTATTTGACCTTTAGAAGAAAGATACAGAAAAAAAAATAATGTTTTGGTTCTGATCTATAAGAAATAACAGTTTTATGAACTGAGAGTTTGTTCCTGAGCTGAGGAGAGTACTGGTAAAATATAACGACTTCTTCCTGAGTTTGGTTAGCCGCAGTTCATTCAGGATCAACTGCAGCTGCCGTGTTTAAGTATTTACAGTGACATTTAAAGACACTATTAAAACAATCATACAGGCTTTTTCTAAAATAAAAGCTTATATGAATTTTTCTATGTTTTTTTTTTGACAACGAACATTTATTCTGTCTATTTTAGGGTGTAATAGGTTGATTTAGTAATAGATTACCTAGTTGTTAAATTTTAAGTCTGAATCTAGTTAAATGATGACTTCTAACTCTGCATTTTTGTGACTAAAAACAATTATTTCTGCATTAGACTGAAGTTTTGTAAATTGAAGATTTTGTGAGGGTGAAAGTGAGAGTGCTATTTTTGATTATGTCAAGGTTTCTAGGGTTTACCAAGGGTCCCAGACATCCGGTCCACACATATACGGTATAAGGTTTTTAAAATATTCAAATTTTCTCACCAAAACGCGCCCTGAAATTGTGCTGTTCCTCACACCCCAAACAGATTTAGTGATTTAGATTTAGTGCTCATCAAATGGCTGTCATATTAGAGAATGTTCTGTTTTCCTTAACAATAATAGTTTTCAGGGGGGTTTTTTTTATGCATATCGTTTCTTTGACGTGGCCAAATGTTTTCCCAGATCATTGAAGGAGGATACCACGCTCTCCATCACGACCTCCCTGAAGTGGCCGAGACTGTGCTGAAGGACGTGACGAGCTGGATCACAGATCGCCTCCCTCCAGCATCGACGCCACCGCAGCAAGGCTCGTAGATCTCCAACGTAAAAAACAGAAAAAAGAAAAAAAAAAAAAAATGAACTCAGTCAGCGCTCCAAGGAGACTCCCCAAACCGTATCCCGCCAGGCGTACATCCTTTCCCAAAGCCATGTGAGGCGTAAACACTTCTTTACTGTCCAAGGGAGGCGTTTGCACTCACTGATCTGACGTCGCGTTCTCTGTCTGAAGGGTTTACTAACATCATTTTCCATCTTCTTTAAGAGGATGATGCCGTCACAAACTTTGATCCTAGAAACTCAGCAAAAATAAAAAATAAAAACATTTCCGAGCAGAATCTACAATCAGGGATGTGCCTCATGCGGTCCGGCCAGTGGGTGCGTTGGTTTTGTCATCATCTCCTGGTCTCCTGCGCTGCTCAAGTGAAGTTGAAATCACATTAAGCTATGGTTCTAAGTGCAATAATGACATTATCCTCTATTAGTCACTGAATTGATCTTTTAGATACTAATACCAAATGTAACACCTTGCGTTACTGACCCAAAGAAATAGCTCTTGCTTTTCCCTCCCTCAAATCCGCAATACATCAAAAGGTCAAGTTGCTGTTTGATCTCCGCTGGGGGGGCCGATGGCTAAGGTCACCTCAAACTGTCAATAACTGGTTTATCCAATATTCCAACATAAACGCTGTCATAAATCTTTCTGAGCTTTCTTTATATTCTCAAGAAATCCTATCTTTTCTTCTTTCATATGTCTCCTTTGGCCTGAAGACAGAAGGTCTAATAAACAGCTCAAAATCAATACTTCTTCAACAAAGAAGATTCAGAAAAGCTTTTTTTTTTTTTTTTTTTAAGCTGATAGATTTGAAGACATTTTATACATGGCACTGTTTACCTTTTTTAAATAAATGAGTGCTTTCAATGACAGAGTCGTGAGCACAATCGTTTCCAGGAGGCAATTTGACCAGGTGACGCTGTTGTGACTTTCTCTGCAGATGGGGCCTCATACTGAGAGGTCAAAGGTCAAATGTTTTGACCCCATTTAAGGCCACGGTTGACTTCACTGTTAGTGGTTCATGTAGCATCTGTTTGGTGAATAGGGGATACCTCAAAGCTGTGAGAGGAATTAACGTGGTTCTCTCGGGGGAAGAAGCTCCACTGTCTCACAAAACGAATCACACCCTTGAATTTAGTCAGATTTCGTCAAGCACAAACCGAAACGCATTCTGTTGGACTTCTGTGTGACAGAACAACACAAAGTAGTGGCTAAGGGGGAAGTTGAACAAATCTGAGCAGTCGACGCTCTCGAAGCACCTTTTGTGTAATTGCAGAGCAGATCTTTTGAGGTCGCTGCCAGCTTTGCACATAACATTTTTTTGCACATTCTTGTAGGCAGCATAGCTCAAGTTCAGTCAGATGGTGGGCATAAATGATCGTCAGTTCAAGTCTTCCCACAGATAGATTCTCAGTTGGATTCAAGTCTGGACTTTGACTGGGCATACTGTGATGCGAACCATTACGCTGCAGCTCTGGCTCTGTGTTTTAGGTTAGTTGTTCTGCTGGAAGGTGAACCTCAGGCTCAGTCTCAGGTCTTTTGCTGTCTATAAAAGGTTTTCTTCTAGGTTGACCCTGTTTATAGCTCCACACTCTTCCCATCAACTTTAACTTGTTTCTCCGTCACTGTTGGAAATGTCAGCCCCGCAGGATGATGTTGCCACCGCCATGTTTCCCTGTGAATACGCATGTTCTCGGTGATGTGCAGTGTAATGTTTCTTTCCACCACAGGAGGCGTTTTCCATGTCAGCCACAAAGTTCAATGTTGGGTTCATCTAACTTGGACTCTATTTGTCACGTTTGTCCCCTAAATACCATGTAGAAAAAAAAACAAAAAACATATGGAACATTTTTCCCCTTTTAGTAAAACTTTCTTCTTGCTACTTTTAAAAAAAATTCACTTTAAGAGTATAAATGTAGTTAAATATCAGAAGCTAAAATAAAACTTTGTTTTAAAGTAGAAAGCTTTGGAATAGCTGTCTTATTCTGAGTTTGAATGCCTGATAGAAATAATTACTACGATTATTCTAAAATGGACTTCTGTATATAAAGCCACAGTTGAAGGAGTAACAGAAGCAGCTGTCACCTCTTTCACTCTTTGCCCCCTCCCCAAACAGCAGTGTGTCCCCCCTGAAGTCAACCTTGGCTTTAAACACCTAAGCAATCATGTCACAACGGCTTTTATTTTTGGTAGCTCTTTAATTGTAAGCTAAGCGGACACACACTGCGCCGCACCGTCATGCGGACTGTAATTAGCCGCTGTCGCTACCTGTTGCTTTGAATCGTTCACAATGAGAAAACATTTTAGAAGTCAGGGCTCCAACATCAGGACCACAGTTAAGCTCATTGTCGGTATTCACCACCAACTTTTTATATGCGCCTTTTTAGAAGAATTGTAGTTATTAGTGCTGGATGAGTTTAAATGAATCACGCAGAGTTCAAAGACGCTCGTGCAGGAGGCGTGGGGGAACATGGTGATGGCCGGCTGCCATGTTTATCTTTGTTCCAAACGCGCTTCACATGCGCCGTCACCAGGGGGATCCCGGCCGAAGTGACAGAATGAGAGGAACCTCTGGGTCCTATACATCTTTCCAACTTTTCCGTCTCCTCCGGTCGCACCGCGTTTCACCGTGAGCTGGGTCTGGCGTTTTTGTTTCATCTTTCATCTTCCACTCCTTTTTTTCTTTTTTTTTTTTGGCTACAAGTGCTAACGATTGCTCTTTGTTCTGTCCATCACGTACGCCTTTGCTCTGTCACAGATTCAGACATGTTGTCCACGGACACCCACACCGTCACACGCGGGGAACTATCTCGGCAGCAACAGGCAGCGGGGATGCTTTGTGGAGATGCTGTTTTTGCCTTAAAGCGCTCTTGTTGTTGTGTAAAATGTACAACTCTGGTAAACCTGAAAGATTTAGCTCAGCTTAGTGCCGGATCACATCACACAGTGTCCAAGTGAGCATCCTCTAAAATTTCTCTTCCACAGATCTTTTTTTTTTTTTTTTGTGATCAGTTGTTATCACATCACACAGAAGATTTACCCTCAACCCGCATTACCCTGTGTGCAGATATAGACAGAAACGTAATGTATTTCTGACTCTCAGCGGGAGTCAGACCCATTAACCCCCAGCCAGAACCGCTCGCACTTCAAACACAATCTCCTCCTGATTAGGCTGCAGCAGACCCAGCAGCACACAAAGGCTGCCCAGTCCCCAGTTGTATTCAAACTCCTAATGGCTCCCCTGCGGCACAGCATCAGCACAATGACCTCAGCCCGCAGCGTAATTTAGAAAAAAAAAAAGAGCTCTACCTGTCAGACTACGTGAGTGGATATTACTGTTGTTTGCTTTGACGGTAGAGAGAGAAACCGGGATGCAGTGAGAGGAAAAAGCGAGGAAAGAAGCCAACAGTAACCATGGCAGCGCTTTCTGTTTCTTCGTTTCTCTCTCTCTGTCTCTCTCTCTCTCTCTCCTGTGAAATCACTCAGTAAAAATAAATATCCTCATTAATTTTGTGGATCGTCTGGCAGACTAGAGGGTCTCGAAGCTTGTTGTCCATTTGCTGCTCTGAGGATTCCCTTTTTGTGTGAGTGTTGAGATAAGAGACAAAAGCATCATCAGCTCGCAGTGAATAATAAGAGCTGCATGCGCTGAATCCTAAACAGCAGGGATTATACACCATTTGTGTCAAACAAGGAGCTTTCCTTGGACATTGTGTGGTTGGAATTTCCCTTTTTTTTTTTCTTCGTCATACGTTTGTCAAATTTTTTTACACATACATTCCATGTCTCTATTAAACAGTGATCAAGTGCAGTCCAGCACTTTCCCCAATAGATTGCATTCCTGTTCATCCCAACAGTCAACGACCTCTGGCTTCACTTATTTCAAAGCCGACACTCTTTTCCAGTGACATGCATTGTGGTCAGATTGCTCACACTGAGACAGCCATGTGAAATCGCTCAGTTAATAACTGGTGATCCTTTCGACTGTTCAGATTCCGACTTCGGACAGACGCTCTATATTAAGTAACTGGGAAGGGGAAGGAAGGGGGCAGAACAGAGCTGAATCCCAATTGGGCTGCAGCTTTTATAACAAAGCCAGATTCATCCTGCCTGCTGGTTTATCAATGGGGTCACTGTTTCTGTTTGAGTTTTTTCTTTCTTTTTTTTTTTTTCTTTTACGACTTTAGGACTGTTTCTATGAAAAGAACTGTTATTTATGACAGAGGACTGAAGGGGCAAAGGCCAGTCTTGCTATAGTTTCATGAGATTTATCTGTTCTGAGGAGACTCCGTGAAGCGTTCCTTTAACGGGATAGTTTGTACGTTTTTTGAGTGAGGTTCTGTTCAAAGGTTATAAGCTGCTGATATCTTACATGCATTGAAAACCTTCTTGGGATTTATAAAGTCTAACTTAGTATGTGATACAGGCAAAGTCTAACAGTTTCTCTGAGAGGGAACGAGACCAAAGCAGATTTCTGCCATCTTATAGAACATCTTCAGTCTCCAAAATGCCATAGAAGTTCATTCAGATGCTGTCTTTAAGAGCCTCTAAACCAGAGGTGGCCTGAGGGCTTTTTGCAGCCCTCTGAATTATATAATATGTCCACAGTTCAAGAACGGTTGAAATTTGACTCACGAGCACAATCAGTTCACGAAGACAGACACATTTAAATTTAAAATGTAAACTATTGGATAGATTCATCTTTTATTATCTCTGTTTTTTTGTTTGTTTGTTTGTTTTACTCTAATTCACAGTAAATAGGATCAAAAACATGCATCTTTTTCCACTGATAAAATATCTGATAATGATAATAATCATACCGTTTTCAAAGAAAGTAGGACTTATATGCCTTTCTTATTGTCAAGATCACAACTTTTCCAGATTAAAACAAAAATAATAATAATTGACCATTATTTATTAAAAAAAATAATAATAATAATAATGGTAAACATTTGAGAAACTCTTTCAGCTTCAGATCTATAGTGATTTGCAAACATATGAGTACCCAGTAGTCTCATTAAAATATTGGAAATTTTGCTACTTACGTGGGTGATGGGAGGTTGGGGGTGGTGTGCCACTAATTATCTTCCGGTGTGAAGCACATTTAGAGAACATGTGAAGCGTTTCTGGTCAAGACAACTGAAAGAAATGCAAAGCAACATAAGTGGTTAATTACAGTAATCAGTTAGGCCCTATAATTTCCATAATGTGGACACATCAAGCAGAAATGCTGGAATGGACAATTGAAGTGTAACCATACAGCACAGTAGAAAAAATGGAGCAGAAGTCTTTCTTCTTCTATTCAGTAGCT